TAATATTTAATTTTTTTAGCAATTTTATATTATTTTGTTGAATATTAAGTTATTGTTTTTTATATATCTTAAACAACTGGACTTAATTAARGGTTAAATCAATAGATCAGTACCACTTACATGTTAATAATGTTTATTTACCATTTCAAATAAAATATCAAAAACAGTTACAAGCAAGCAAAATACTTTTGCTATTATTTATTACTAACTAATAACAGTTGTGAATTGTGTTAATTATTATTATTATATTAAATTGTTTTTGGTTAAGTTATTATCATTCCCTTATTAGTTAAATATTTTCTATCAATCTCAATATTATATTATCTGATTATTTTAAAACTATTAACTTTGTGCACCGCATATGCTACATACATTTCTAAGTGATTTTGTTTTATAACTGCTCGCGTAGATGATTTACAATAATATTAAACTTATTATATTTTAGTCTATTTGAGAATGAGATAATGAGTTATGTACCAGTAAGAGTCAGAGACACAAGAGTATCTCCTCAACAATCGCCTATAATGAATAGGGCAAATAGAACAGTTCCTCCATTCAAAAGAGATTTTGAAGCAAAACTTAGGAACTTTTACAAAAAATTGGAAACTAAAGGATATGGACAAGGACCAGGAAAACTTAAGTAATGTTAAGATTATAAAATGTTAAGAATTATAAGAATAAAAAATTGTTATAAATTCTTTAGAATTGATGTACGGCGAGATCATCTACTTCAAGATGCWTACAATAAAATAATGAGCATGCCTAAAAAAGATTTACAAAAATGTAAACTATCTGCACAGTTTGATAACGAAGAAGGACTTGATTATGGTGGACCATCAAGAGAGTTCTTCTTTTTGATATCCAGAGAATTGTTCAATCCCTATTACGGCCTTTTTGAATATTCGGCTAATGATACTTATACTGTTCAAATATCACCTATGTCGGCGGCATTTGTAAATAATAAAGAAGACTGGTTTAGATTTAGCGGACGAGTTTTAGGTTTAGCATTAGTMCACCAATATCTATTGGATGCTTTTTTCACTCGGCCATTTTACAAAACTCTATTAAAGCTGTGAGTATAAAATTGTGATTGATTTTATAAATTTAAATAATATTTTCAAACTTAAATTTTAGACCTATGAGTTTGAGCGACTTAGAATCTGTTGATCGAGAATTCCATCAATCCTTATGTTGGGTACAAGAAAGAGATATATCAGGAGAAATGTTGGACTTAACATTTTCAGTCACTGAAGAAGTATTTGGTCAAACAGTTGAAAAGGAGTTAAAACCTGGAGGTCAACGAATTTTTGTTACTGATAAAAATAAAAAGGTTAATATATAATAAATCTCATTTTTTTATATTTATATAGACATCATATATTTAATAATAAAATTGATTTTTCCACAGGAATATATAGATAAAATAGTAAAATGGCGATTGGAACGTGGTGTTACCGAACAAACTGGAGCTCTGGTTCAAGGATTTTATGATGTAGTTGATCCACGATTAGTATCAGTCTTTGACGCTCAAGAATTAGAACTAGTCATTGCCGGAACTGTTGAAATAGATTTATCTGACTGGAGAAATAACACAGAATATAGATCAGGTAACATATAATGGAGTACATTTTTTTAACACTTAAATTTCAGTTGTTTTTTAAAAGTAAACTTAACCAACATGYGATCTTAGTAACTAAAAACATTTAAAGATTTTGTTAAAACAAATGCATTTTYTTTTTTGTTATTGTAAATACAATTAGTGCATTATTTTTTATTTAATTTACCAAACTCAATAATTATATTTATTTTAAATTCATACTCTTTGTCACTGAAATTTTAAACCCTTTTCAACAATTTTTTTTTAAATTACATTTCCTTGCTTCCTTTTTATTAATACAATTTATAATATGATCGTAAATTTAAATTTATTCACATGGCTTGGTTGTTAATTAAGAAAATTAATTTTTGTCAATGATGAACTAACTGACCTTTTAAGATTTAGTGGTCCATGATTGTTYCGTTAAATTAAGACAYGTTTCATGCAATTTGGCATTTATATTATAATATTAACTAAATTCTATATATTATGCATGTTATTAAAATGTATTATTCTAATAATATCAAAATTAATTTAAGGTTACCATGATGGACACCAAGTTATTAGATGGTTTTGGTCTTCAATAGAACAGTTTACTAATGAGCAAAGATTAAGACTACTTCAGTTTGTAACTGGCACATCTAGTATACCTTACGAAGGATTCTCTGCTCTTCGTGGTTCAAATAGTCCCAGAAAGTTTTGTATTGAAAAGTGGGGCAAAGCCAACAGTTTACCCAGGTAATATTTAATTGTTATAATTTTTTTATCAGRCTTGATTATATTTTCTAAAATAAATGATTTTACCTACATTATAACAAAAACAGTTTGGAACGATATGGTATTAATAGTCCATTTTTAATCCATGTTCATGTAGAGATTACTGTTAGTATATGAAAAATAATTTATTTATATTTATGTATTTATTTTTTAGGGCACATACATGTTTCAATCGTCTAGATTTACCACCATACACTACTCAAAACATACTTTGTGAAAAACTTTTGTTAGCTATAGATGAAAGTAATACGTTTGGAATGGAGTAATAAGTCTTTTTATATTTTTTTATAGCTAAATTCAGGCTAAAAAGCGTAGAAATTACGATTTATAGACCAGAAATTAATTATTATTGAACATTTTTAAGATTTTTTTTTGTTATTTTATATATAAAAAACCTTTAGAGTGAAAATAATTATATTATCATTGTAAATTTAATATTTAAACAAAATTTATTTATTATTATGTTCAAAAATGTTTTAATATAGTTATTACCACTACATCCTGTAACAAATAGCCTAGTAATGACAGGAGATGGTTATGATTCCCTTACTTATTTTTTATTTACTTTCTTGTTATTCTGTTAAAAATCGACTAATATTTCTCACATCTTGATGTTTAAGAAAAGAAAAACTCATTTGTTATTACTGTTAATATTTTTATTTTATTTGTAATATTGCTTTTCCTTAAATTTGCTATTCATTTTTAACTGACCTCTGGCGGCGCTATACAGAGCAATAGCGACTTGTTGAATCCAAAGAATAACATCGACAAACACAATCAGCGACTGGACATTCCAAGTGATTCCTTAGAAAAAATGATAACAAATAAATAAATTTTATGTATATCATATATTGAAGTGTATAACTATTAAAATAATTACTTAAACCAGTCACTGATATGATTAGAATGACCTCCGTGATTACATGTAGGACACCATGAAAACCAATATGAAAAACTATTAGCACTTTGCCCAGTCATCACATATGCATTGTTAGATGTTAATTGTTTGCCAGATGTTTTTCTTAATGGTACTTTGGCACTGGCAGTGCCTAAATGTGCAAGACATAACGCACACCGAGGCAGCGGACTTTGACAATTGGGGCATGATGTAAACTGAAAAATAGTTTCTTATTAATTAAAAATATATATTTTATGTTGAGGTATGCAAAATGCTGGTTACATAATTTTTATATAGGATAAACATATATAAACTACATTCCACTATACTGTAAGCAGATAAAAAAGATATGTATAAATAATTTATGGATTTGATATTTGATGAGTAATGGACATTTTTTCTGTGGATAAGACAATAAGTTAGCTGACAATAGTAAAAATCTGTGATCTATTTATTTAACTTCAAGTTACTTGTATATATCAAAACCTCTGGTTTTTTATTTCTGATTTTGATTTTGGTGATTTAATTAAGATTAATAMTTTTTTTGGGCTTCAATAAAATAAAAACTTTAATATTGAATATAAATCTATTCAATATAAATATAAAATAATTCAAACTAATAAATAATTTTTGGGTAAAATGACAACATACTTTGAAATTATTTGATCCGTTCTCTGTTTGTTCTTTTACTCTTAGAACTTTTGTTTCCTTTTCACTTTCTTTCTCCTTTTCATCAGCTGCTGGACAGATATTTTTTCCACAGTAATTGCAAGATAAAAAAACATTTTGGGGTGGAGGTTTTACTGCTTTAAGGGCTATATCAAATTTGGCTCGTATGTGCCACATTCTCCATTGGTTTAACATATCTCGGTAACTAATGATAAATTTAAACAACATAATTAAATACAACAAATATTAAGAGGACGTGATACC